GACAAAGCCCGGCTCCACAGGGAGGTGCAGCCCCTCCCCGGGACATCGCTTCCCCCCTGGGGCTGGAGGGTACCCAGGGACCGGGGTGGGGGGTGAGGCACAGCTTTGCTCCCTTTCTGTGTGGGGAAAAACAAAAGGAAAGTCTCCGTAATAATTAAAAGCAAGATGAGCCCAGAGTGTTAAAGCATGTGGAGATCAGAGGTGGTTAAACCTAGTCTCAAGGGGAAGATTTCTACCTGGATGGAGGAAAAACGAGAGAGCAGTTTCTGCTCCATGGAGCATCACAACCGTTATTTTTGGGGAAGGAGTGGTCATTTTTTACCCACTCCCTCTCCCTTCGCTACCCCGGCACTTGCAGGACCTTTGTTATTTCCGAGAAGCCCTGGGAGCTTGGCTGAGCCCGAGCCCCGCAGTCCCCCCATGCACCTTGCCTTCCGCTCCTTGTCCCAGCCCAGCAGTGCTCGGGTGGGTGACAGGCTCCGTGGTCCAGGTGCCCCCGGTGCCAGCAGCCTCCTCCTGCGGGCACAAACACAGCGACCCAGGCTCAGCTTGTGGCCCATCCTCATCCGTGTCTCTCTTGCCATTTCCCCTTCTACCAGGGTCAGTTTTGCCCCGATTTTTGGTGTTGCCTGAAGCCGATGGGAGCAAACCGCCCTGCTCCTTCGCTGCTAAAGCCCTGGTTGTTCCTGGGCACCCCCGAACCCACGGGCATGCAGCCACCCAGCCCATTTTGCAACCTGTTTTGGCTTGCAAGATGCACAACGGAGGGCGAGCACTGCTCTGTGCTCATCCCTGTCCCATCACTGGAGGGACTGGAGCAAGAAAGCGAAGTCTGGGAAAAAGGGCAGGTTCTGGGGATGCTGCCCGGCGCTGAGCTGGCTCTGCAGCACCTGAGACCTCTGAGACAATGAGTGATTGCAGGTGAGGTACATACTGTGGACCCTCACGGCTGCTGACACCTGTAAAATACAGCAGCTGAGAGTGGCTCCGGGTTCAAGAGGAGCCGGGTGAACACAGTCCTGGTGATGCTGAGGTTGTAGCAGCTGATGTAAAACAACAACAAAAAAAGGGCAAAATAATGGATGCGGTAATTTTCTTCTTTTTATAGTCCTAGGCTTCCTATCAACTAATATGAGATATGAGGCTTACATAGTCTTTAGTCAGAAATATTATGTTTATGAAAACATTAGTTGTTCTGAAATGCAGTAGTTTAATTGTTAGAACGTGTTCAAAGCTGGCCTAACTGTGTCCTGAAACCGAAATGAGAGAAGGCTCAACTACCTTGCAATGATACATTTTCTGTTGGAAATAAGGAAGATGTTTCTATCTGCCTTGCAGGCACTTAAATGCATGAGAACCTGAATCAAAATATCTTAGAAGATATGTCCCAACGCAGCTGGTGGCTCTATTTGGCACAGAGAAGTTTCTGGGACAGTTTCCTTCCATGGGGGCAAGCAAGGGAGCAGCAGGAGACGTGAGTACGCAGGTGACAACTGTGACAAAAATCCAGACTGGTTGGCAAACCTGCAGCCAAGTCCAGAGTTGTAACTGCGACAAAGAAATTGTCTTGTGTCAGAACCGTTGCTCTGAATTAACCCGGATCTCACCGGCCCTTGTGCAAACCAGCTGGGTGCTGCCTGCGGAGCAGGAGCCAGCAGGAGGCTGAGGGAGGGTGTCCTGCCATCAGGAGCCTCCTGAAGAACGCCAGATGTTACGAAGCCTCCCTTCTCCAGCCTGGCTGGCTCTCAGGCTGGCAAGCAGAGCAGGTGGACAAGACCCAGCCACTCCCCAAGCGCAGGGATGGAGGAAAAGCATCAACGCTCCCCTGTTAATGTACCCTCAGATGTGGGTGGAGAGGTTCCCCAAACCACATCAGCTTGGAGAAATAAGTTCTGCCAAGGTCTGTGATCGCAGAATCGCAGAATCACAGAATGTTTGGGGTTGGAAGGGA